CAGTAAGTACTAGTTGAATTTACAAGAAAGGCAACAGAAGGCTTCTTAAGAGGGATTGAGGTTTAGCGGTCAGAGAGTCTCAGGGAATTCTTCTGTCCACCACGGTGGATACTGGTGCGTCCGTTCATCCAGCATTAGGTCAGGGAGCCAAGGCAATGGTGCAGCACTCGGAGTCCTAGTCTGAGGGAAACCTCCACGCGTCTGTGTGGTTCTCTCTCCCATCCAGGATATGATTAATCATCTGTGCAAAGACAGTGAAGGAACTGTTGCTACACACAATATGGATCCCCTCAATATTGAAAAGTTCAGCATAAAAGAGTACGTAAGCTAGTCCCATTTTACAGGACGTTGCAAACAAGCAGAAGTGAGCATGGTGGGGAGGGAGGAGTCAGGCGGCTGGGTGGGCACTGGAGGCTTCTGGGTGCTGTTCTACTTCTAGGTCTGGCTGATGTCACATGGGTGTGTTCACTTTGTGACAATTCACCAAGCCACACACTCATGATGTGTATATTTTTCTTTAGGTGTATCACACTTTATTCCAAAATTTTATTTAAAAATATTTCCTGTGTGTGTGCTCATTTAATTATCCAACGAAGCTGTTCTAGCAACAGAACATTAAAAGGCAACAGGAAGTCTGTCACACACATTAAAGCAAACCCCCTTCTCTAAATGTACTGTTCTTGGCTGCCTTGCTCTGCAGGAGGATCTTATGTTGCTGCAGGAGAGGCTGAATTTTATAGCAAAATCTGCTTGAAAAAAATTTCCATGATTACATGCTATAACAAGAAAAATAAAATCAGCCAACAGGAAGGAAATGGAATTGTTCTCAGCAGCAAAGAACAATGTCCTGGGTTGCTTCCTCTTTGTAGTGTAGCACAGAGTAAACAAAATGAGCATCCTGATGGATTTTATTTTAGGCAGCTTTAACTTTGACCATAATAAGCACGAGATAATTAAGAAATAAGTAGAATGTTTATTTGACATTGTCTCAGATGTTAAGGCTCTGTACTGGAAGTCTCTCTCACAGAGGACCAGGGAGTTATTCTTTTGATCCTTTCTTTTCTATTTCAACAGTTAGTGGTTATTTTTCACTTGGATTTGTAAATTCCTAGAGGGCAATATTCTCAATTTTGGAAAGCATCTGTTGATAGTAAAAAGGCAATGAGTGATTGCAGTGGTAAAACCCTTGCTTGTTGCATGAGGGCTACCCCATGCATCTTCCTTTTTTGCCTCCCCAGTCTCTCTTTCATGATCTAAGTAAGCCCCACAGCATCAGCGTTTTGTCTCTATGGCACACAGGGTGCAACTTTGCAGTTGCCTAAATGGCAACCCACTCCAGTATTCTTGCCTGGAGAATTCCATGGACAGAGAGAGGAGCCTGGTGAGCTACAGTGTATGGGGTCGCAAGAAGTTAGACAAGACTGAGTGACTAACACTTTCACTTATCTTCCCCCACAAGGCTGGAAACTTCCAGGTGGCAGAGATCATGCTCCTAGGGTAGAAGATGGATCTTCTGCACTGTTTGCTCTTGTATGGGCAGAGGCTGGTGGCTTGCTCCTTAACCTGGGCTGTGAGCTGCTAGGAGGCAGGGACTGCAGGTTCCTCGTGTTGTACTTCCCTTGTTTGGTATATTGTAGGGGCTCAGTAAGTGTTGATTGAACAAAGCAAAAAAGGAAGTTGGATCAGTTCTCCCAGTTTCAAGGTTCTGCAGTTGCCTGACCTCCTGAGTGCTGCAGAAAACTGTACTTGCTTCGTGGAAAAGCATTCTATGGTCTATATTGGAAGTGTAAATGGCATTCCTTCTGTCCCTACTGGTCACCACACCCCTGTGTATAGTCTGGAATAAAGAATGTGAGTTGGGAAAATTCCCTGGTGGTCCAGTGGTTAGGACTCAGTGCATACTGCTGTGGCCTGGGTTCAACCCCTGGTCGGGGAACTAAGATTTCACAAGCCAAGCAACAAGGTCAGGGAAAGAAAGAAAAAGAATGTGAGTAGGCAATGGGGCTGAAAGTTCACGCTTCAGTTTAGTTGCTCAGTCATGTCCAACTCTTTGAGACCCCATGGACTGCAGTATGCCAGGCTTCCCTGTCCATCACCAACTCCCAGAGCTTGCTCAAACTCATCCATCAAGTCAGTGATACCATCTAACCATCTCATCCTCTGTCGTCCCCTTCTCTTCCTGCCTTCAATCTTTCCCAGCATCAGGGTCTTTTCCAATGAGTTGGCTGTTTACATCAGATGGCCAAAGTACTGGAGCTTTAGCTTCAGCATCACACATTCCAATGACTATTCAGGGTTGATTTAAGATTGACTAGTTCGATCTCCTTGCTTTCCAAGAGACTCTCAAAAGTCTTCTCCAGCATCAGTTTGAAAGCATCAGTTCTTCGGTGCTCTGCCTTCTTTATTGTCCAGCTCTCACATCCATACATGACTACTGGAAAGACATAGCCTTGACTATATGGATCTTTGTTGGCAAAGTGATGTCTTTGCTTTTTAACACACTGTCTAGGTTTGTCATAGCTTTCCTGAAAAGTATCAATTGTCTCCTAATTTCATGGCTGCAGTCACCATCTGAAGTGATTTTAGAGCCCAAGAAGAGGAAATCCGCCACTGCTTCCACCTTTCCCCTTCAATTTGCCATGAAGGGATGGAACTGGATGCCATGATCTTAGTTTTTTAATACTGCGTTTTAAGCCAGCCTTTTCACTTTCTGTCTTCACCCTCATCAAGAGGTTCTTTAGTTCCTCTTCGCTTTTTGCCATTAGAGTGGTATCATCTGCATATCTGAGGTAGCTGATATTTCTCCTGGTAATCTTGATTCCAGCTTCTAACTCATCCAGCCCAGCATTTCATATAATGTGCTCTGCATGTAAGTTAATTAAACAGGGTGACAATAAAAAGCCTTGCTGTACTCCTTTCTCAATCTGGAATCAGTCTGTTGTTCTAACTATTGCTTCTTGACCCACATACAGGTTTCTCAGGAGAGAGGTAAGATTGTCTGGTATTCCCATCTGTTTGAGAGTTTTCCACAGTTTATGATCCACATTGTCAAAGGCTTTAGTGTAGTCACTGAAACAGAGGTAGATGTTTTTCTGGAATTCCCTTGCTTTCTCTGTGATCCAGCAAATGTTGGCAAGCTGATCTCTGGTTCCTCTGCCTTTTCTAAATCCAGCTTGAACATCTGGAAGGTCTCAGTTCACATACTACTGAAGCCTAGATTGAAAGATTTTGAGCATAACCTTATCAGCATGGAAGATGAGTGCAACTGTCCGGTGGTTTGAACATTCTTTAGTACTGCCCTTCTTGGGAACTGGTGTGAGGATTGGCCTTTTCCAGTTCTGTGGCTACTGCTGGGTTTTCCAAATTTGCTGACATATTGAGTGCAGTACTTTAACCTTTTAGGATTTTAAATTAGGATTTTAAATATCTCTGCTGGAATTCCATCCTCTCCACTAGCTTTACCACTCCGTGCTCCCCTCCAACACTATTTAATAAGCCACTTTGGTTGGCGACTACGGGAATCACTAGACATCTTCGAAGTCTTTGCATATGCCATTTTTAAGAAATACAATTTGCAATCTGACTTTTGCAAAGAGATTAAGCTGGGGGCAGGCTGGAAGGTAAGGCAGAAGCAAATGCATAGGAATTTGAGAAGTGGAGAACCCTGAGATTTCTTTTATTAAACAGTGAGAATAAAGTTATTAAGAATTAGAGTTTCAATCTTGTAAACCTTGTAGAGTACATGCAACTAGAGAGCAGGGATGAAAAAGGGCTCTGTCTTGTGTAGCATCTAATTGCTCTTTCCAGTTGTGAAGTCAGACAGATATTCAGTTTCTACATACTCATTGCTATTTTCCTCAGTTTCAGATTAATTTGTTAGTAAAACTTTTTCTTTGCAGTACAAAGTGCTATAATTCTAAGAGGTGAAAATTTGGTTATATTAATCACTAAATCTTTCTCTTCCAATCCCCTCTTGTGTCAATCATCAAACACACTGTAATGTGAAATCTTTGTAACATGCATTTGATACACACTAAGTCTCAAGTTAACATTAAGTTCACATTTTGAAACTTGAAGTTGGTAAACAGAAATACAGTTTAAAATCATAAGCTGGTTAATTTTTCCTCTGGAAAAAATATTACGTCTGTAGTTTCACACAAGTTCTTTTTCCAGATCAGCAATTTCTGCATATTTTAAGTGCAAGGTTCTTGAATTCATTTAATACATTTTCCCACCTCAGTGAACACAGCTTTACTCCTAAGATTTTGGAAATATAAATATATGTTTTAACAATAGTTGTTTCTGGAGGGTAGATTTGGGGGTTTTCTTTTTGCTTTTATGTATTTCCTGACTTTTCTGTACTAAGACAATAATTTCTAATTATTTTAAAGCAAGAGGGAAGTTGTGGTTAGAACATGCAAATTTAAGAACTATTAAGAAATATTCATATGGTCACTCCAATAGCCACATCTTCTATCTAGACTTGCTTGTCATCAGTCCATTTCCATGTGGTTAGTATAGCCTAAGATGCAAATGTGACTGTGACACTTTCCTTTGAATCAATTCCCTCCAAAGGTACTTCAGTATCACTGTTCATACTTACTATCCTGCATCAGTCAGTCATGTTTCAGTTCCAAGTGACAGAAGCCTCACAAAATAGCTTAAGCAAAAATGAGAAATTTGCTTGCTCATGAAAAATCCAGGCTGAGCTTTAGACAAGGCTAGATCTAGGAGCTCCATGATGGCATTATGTCTTTTCTTCCTTGGTTCTGCTGCTTTCATGTTGGTTTTATTTCTAGGCAGGCGCAGTCCACCTGGAGGAAACAGTCATTGGCATCTCCAGGTACACTTCGTCCTTAGAACTCTATTATAGACGATGAAGAGAGGACTTGGTCTGCATTGGGTCATGTGCTTTTCCATGGGGTCAGTCACCCTAGAATGGAATGAGGAGGCTACAGAAGGAGGAGTGGTCCCCAAAGGAAGAGATTCTAAGCAAACCATCATTCCTCCAGGGGCGCATAGTTGAGCAGCTTCTTGGTTAGGTCCACTTGGGCCAGTGCTGCAGCAGTGCTTCTGGGCCAGCATCCAGGGTATCCTTTGGGTGTACTCAGCCTGCAGCAGCCCCAGGCAGGCCTCCCACTTGTTGCCAACAATCTTGCTACAGGTGAAGCAGTGCACAGATATTATCATGGCAGCAGCATGCCAGCTGGCTGGTCCTCCAGGCTGTCCCAACTTGGAACTTGCTAAGTATGTGAGCTGTGAATTACATTAACTACCAAATTATGCTAAATTAAGTATCACTGACCTTTGAATATAATGTTATAGTTCTACTTGATATTGGTGTTATCTGATTATCTAGGTAAAGGGTTTTAACCTGGAGTCCACAGAACTCTAAGGGGATTTGTCCGAATTTGGAAGATATGTGAACTTGCTTAGGAAAAAAAAAATTTTTTTTCACTAGGCTATAACTGAAATTTAGTATTCCTTTTGATTATAGATGCATATAATCCTGAGATGTTTTAGGCAGTAATGCGACTTTGTCGTTAATAGGATTCAGGTCTTTTCATATCACATTGTAGTTGCAGAGATCTCAATATATTGTTCATGCTGCCTCAATGTCATAGCAGCTATTGAGCTCTCTACTAGATCTGATTATTAAATGAACACATACATTACTCTATCACACACATATTTTGATAATTTACACCTCAACATAACTGGTTTTGTCTGTAATGCTATGCATTTTACTTCTGCACTTAAAAACAACATTCTGAGACAGGATCCACGGCACAAAAATGTTGAAGTGATCTAGCATTCATTGGAAACAAGATGAGACCAAAGTATGATGATCTGACTCCAGAAAACCTCTAAGGCGGGGCTGAAATAAGAGATTATGAGCCTTTTCAGTTTAGTTCAGTTCAGCTGCTCAGTCATATCCGACTCTGCGACCCCATGAACCACAGCACGCCAGGCCTCCCTGTCCATCACCAACTCCCGGGGTTTACCCAAACTCAAGTCCATTGAGTCGGTGATGCCATCTAACCATCTCATCCTCTGTCGTCCCCTTCTCCTCTTGCCCTCAATCTTTCCCAGCATCAGGGTCTTTTCAAATGAGTCAGCTCTTCGCATCAGGTGGCCAGAAGTATTAGAGTTTCAGCTTCACCATCAGTCCTTCCAACGAACACCCAGGACTGATCTCTTTTAGGATGGACTGGTTGGATCTCTTTGCAGTCCAAGGGACTCTCAAGAGTCTTCTCCAACACCACAGTTCAAAAGCATCAATTCTTCTGTACTCAGCTTTCTTTATATCCCAACTCTCACATCCATACATGACTACTGGAAAAACCATAGCCTTGACTAGATGGACCTTTGTTGACAAAGTAATGTCTCTGCTTTTTAATATACTGTATAGTTTGGTCATAACTTTCCTGTTATGACCAGGAGTAAACATATTTTAATTTCATGGCTGCAATCACCATCCGCAGTGATTTTGGAGCCCCCAAAAATAAACTCAGCCACTGTTTCCTCATCTACTTGCCATGAAGTGATGGGACTGATGCCATGCTCTTAGTCTTCTGAATGTTGAGCTTTAAACCAACTTTTTCACTTCTCTTTCACTTTCATCAAGAGGCCCTTTAGTTCTTCTTCACTTTCTGCCATAAGGGTGGTGTTATTTGCATATCTGAGGTTATTGATATTTCTCCCAGCAATCTTGATTCCAGCTTCTGCTTCATCCAGCCCAGTGCTTCTCATGATGTACTCTGCATATAAGTTAAATAAGCAGGGTGACAATATATGGCTGTGACGTACTCCTTTTCCTATTTGGAACCAGTCTGTTGTTCCATGTCCAGTTCTAACTGTTGCTTCCTGACCTGCGTACAGGTTTCCCAAGAGGTAGGTCAGGTGGTCTGGCATCCCCATCTCTTTCAGAATTTTTGACAGTTTATCATGATCCACAGTCAAAGGCTTTGGCATAGTCAATAAAGCAGAAATAGATGTTTTTATGGAACTCTCTTGCTTTTTCGATGATCCAGCAGATGTTGACAATTTGATCTCTGGTTCCTCTGCCTTTTCTGAAACCAGCTTGAACATCTGGAAGTTCACAGTTCACGTTTGAAGCCTGGCTTGGAGAATTTTGAGCATTACTTTGCTCACCTGTGAGATGAGTGCAATTGTGTGGTAGTTTGAGCATTCTTTGGCATTGCCTTTCTTTGGGATTGGAATGAAAACTGACCTTTTCCAGTCCTGTGGCCACTGCTGAGTTTCCCAAATTTGCTGACATATTGAGTGCAGCACTTTCACAGCATCATCTTTTAGGATTTGAAATAGATCAACTGGAATTCCATCACCTACACTAGCTTTGTTTGTACTGATGCTTCCTAAGGCCTACTTGACTTCACATTCCAGGATGTCTGGCTTTAGGTATTTGGATCTACTAAAAAACACATTGACTAAATGCCACAGACATTGGCTTAAGAGCTTGCTAAAGACAAATTCACTTCTTTGTGTGGTTATCTGCATAGGTATTCACTAGAACAGGATTTCAGTTATCCAAACTGTTAGGGCATGCTCTGTAAGGTTGTGAGATACTTTCTAACAATGTTTGTTGATAAGGACCCATCAGAGATGAACTCCTCAGAACTGTTCTCTAGGAACTTCTCTTTGGTTTACTGATCTTGGTTCCCAACAGGAAGCAGATAGTTCTTAAATGATGACACTTGAGGAGATACTAACAAAGATGTGGGGTATAGGGGACTTCACAAGAGGAAACACAATAGCTTCAACAACTCCTGGCTAGTAGCAGATCTGGCATCACTCCTTGGCCAGAAGGGAAGAGAACAAGGAGTGGCAAATCTAAAGAAATAAGCAAAGTTTAGAGGAAGCGGTTACCTTTGAGTATTGAGGTAGCTCACTGTGGGAAAGCCAAGACCATCCCTGACCATCCTCATATCTCCAGCCATGACATTCCTTAGCCAATCCTACCCAGAAGCCAGGAGGCGAAGGGGCCCACTATTGTGGCCCACTCATCAGCCTTTTGGGGACAGAGAGCAGAGTGGAACTGGAAGAGGCAGAGATATCCAGCACACTTGGCAAATTTCTACCACAGCAATTTCCAAACTATTTGATGGTCTAAGAGGGCAGAAATTAAAAAAAAAAAACCCACAGCTACCACTAAAATTCCTGCAAGTTAACTGTTCGGTATTACTGAATGAATGGACGAAGAACTTAAATATTACTGAAACATAGAGTAAAAGGAAACTGCAGTTAGGAACTACGTATTTACTTTCAATCAGAACGGATACTTAAAATGTTATGGAAATACTGGAGCATGGATCAGCAATAAATTCTACTTTGTAGATCAGACAGATATGTCACAGTTTTATAATACAGTTAAGTAGTTCATCCTCCTTATTTGTGGCTTCTTATTTGTAAATTTGCCTGTGGTTTAAAACTTTCATGGTGCTTTCACAGTCATGCACGGAGTGGTGAAAAATTTGACCTTGTCCAATGCATATGCTCCCAGTTGAGGGTGACAAGATGACATGCTGTGTTCTTGGTTCAGTTCATATATTTCAAACAAGCATCCTTTGCTCTATTTAGCACACTGTTTTTTGCATTTTTGTTTTCAGGTTTTTTTTTAATTGGTGGTTTTACTGTTTAAAACGGCCCCTAAAATAGCCCCCAAATGAAGTGCTGAAATGCTGTGTAGTGTCTAAGTACTAGACAGCAGTCATAGACCTTATGGAGGAAGTGCATGTATTAGATAAACTTGGCTTGGGCATGAAGTTATGGTGCTGTTGACCTATGAATTCAACATTAGTTAACAAAGCAGAAAGACACCTGAAACAAGTTCATGTGTTGATTAGTTGGTAAACACATGGCCAGGGACTCACAGAATAACCTCAATATTCCCCCTAGGAGCAACGGTTCCGTAGTTGCTAATTCTGTGTTGGTGGGTACATTTATGGGCTTCCCAGGTGGCGCTAGTGGTAAAGAACCTGCCTGCCAATGCAGGATGATGTAAGAGATGTGGGTTTGATCCCTGAGTCAGAAAGATCCCCTAGAGAAGGACACGGCAACCCACTCTAGTACTCACGGTTGCAAAGAATTGGACATGACTGAAGCGACTGAGCAAGCATGCAACACCGTGATTTTACAGAACCTAATTACCATGAATGATGATGATACGTGCTGTTTTCTAGTTCCTAATAAAGATTCAAAATAGAAAATTCAATTTACAAAAGACACCGAAGATTTTTCTATATTAGCAACTAATTGGCATTCAAAACGCAAAACCAGGAAGGGGGAAAACATTAAAACCTGCACATAATTTTAATATGATATATTAAAATTTATTACTTTTTGATAGTATTAAGCTAAATCCAAATTATTTCAATTAAAGTTGTCTAGAAGGTCATATAGCTTGAAAATTAAAGAAATCAGTGGGAGGGAAAAGCAAAAACAATCTACTTAATACATTGACTTTACAATCACAAATGCATTATTATCTGGACTCAGTTGGTTAATTCAATCCTGCTTATTAGTTAGGCCAATTTATACCCACTACACAAGAAATCCTACATTATCCAAAGGCGTTATGCTTCTATTTACAGTAGCAAATCTGAAGTCTTTTTTAAAAAAACAATCACCATTCCATTGACTAATGTAACCAATTTCCCATGCTCTGGCATAAGAATATTTGATGTTAGTCAACAAAGACAGCCATCTATTATTCTTGAGAAATATAACAGTGGCAGTCTTTTGATTTTTTGTTTAAAGTAAGTAACTTTGAATAGTAGAAGAGCTGAAATTTCTAACTTGCTTCCTAGCCACAGTAAGAATGACATTTTCCCCCAGGGACCTTCAAATATTTAAAAAATTTGGACTAACATTCTCTAAGAATCCATACATATCAATAAGAAGCTGACTTTCTTGCCAGGCTTCAAATGCCCTAAAGATGAGACATAGTACATACATTATAAAGAGCTTATGGATGAACGTTGAGTGCCTGGGCATTGTTACAACAGTAAAGGTTAAATCACTTTTATTTCTGAAAGACACTTTTGGTACCATTATCATATCCCAAAATAGGTATTAATGCTACTGATGATTAAGAAGCTCAGAAGTTATAATTATGCCTCCCTTATTGTGGAAATAAAGTAGGAGAGCTCTGAAATGTGAGGGAAAAACACCCAGGCACTTAAATCAATGAATATTTGCTAGGAGGAAACTTAAACTGATTGCAGCCTTCAGAGAGCTGTATTAACATCAAATAGCCACATTTCTGTCCACTACAAGGAATACTATAAAGAAGCAAACAAGCCATGTTTAACAAAATGTGTTAGCATACAGAAAGTGTAGTTTTTCACACTTAGAAAAATTTAAATCTTTAGTCTAACACTTAGATGGGCAACAGCCTAAAGAAAAATGAAGAACTATACACACCAGCTATTTCAACTACAAAATGCTCTGTGACTGAAGGAAAATAATTCAATATTCACTATCATTTTATAAGAGTATAACTTCAAGGAATGATTATGCTCATAAGTAAACACACGATATTCCTAAAGATTTGCAACTAAGGTTTGCAAGACATGAAATCAGACTGCAAAACTAGTTGAAAGCAATTAGAGTCCAATAGTTCTCTTATGTTTTCTTTTATGCTCTTTATTTGAAATTGATATTTTAGAACAGTAAATTATCTTTCATAGCAGTTCTCCTGGTCTGATAATATAGTACCCCATTTTTGAATGTAGAGACTTAAGATAAATCAAAATGAACATTAAGGCGTACAAACAGCTACTTTTAAGTCTGCTCTTATTTAATAAAGATTGTTTGAACTCATATTCAAATACATGGAATGTTGGCACAAAACTGAAGCTGCTGTAGAAAGATCACAGATGCTTTGTGGGTTATTGAAACTTCCATCTCTCTAAAAACATACCCTTAAATGGTCTTAATTGTACAAATTTAAGTGTTGAGAAAATGTCTAAATAATAAGTAACAATTAAAATAAAATGTTTATTTGTAAATTATGTACAGAATACATTTTACTTTACGACAAGGAAATGGGAAGAACCATCACCTTCCAGCCAATTCTGCTTGCTCCCTCTGTTGGAGATGACCATCTTACTCTGAATCAGGCGTACAAATCAGTTTGGATTTCCTAAGTTGGAAAAGGAGAATTTGTAGCTAAACTAAAAGTGTTGCTGCATTATTACTAGTTGGCTTGTTCCACAAAATGTTTTTGAACCCTGCTAAGTTAGAATCTTAGAAGTTTTCTGGTATAATTTAATAATCAACAAAAGCTAAACTAATAAGAACAATAAGTTTAAGCATTTCATCTCAAAGAAACTGTGAAATGGCTACAAAACTATGCTTAATCTGAAATATTGGTATTTATTTTTATCCCTTTTATTCTGATTAGCCTAACAGTAAAAAGCCATACAACTATCAAAAATGCCATTAATCTAAATGTCCTTGTGGAAAGTGCATCTTTGATAATTGTCAAAATAAATGAGACCTATTTACTGTAAAATTATCAAACAGATAAAATTTATAAATGGCTTTAGACTGTACCAATAATAGTATTATATGAAATGAAGGACTGAATATAACTGCTTAGATGTCAAATCCATTTCAGTAAATGGATTTAAAGAATGCTACAAATGTCATGTGTACATTATGATGATCAGCCAACATAGAAAATCCAACCTCTTGCACATATTTAGTCCCCAAATTAGTCAGATTATGATTTTTCATGTGAAGATTTAGTTGTTTCTCCATCATTGTCTTCCTCCTCCTCCTCTTCACAATCCCCATCTGTTTGCTGTTCCAGTTCCTCTTTTGTGATCATTTCAAAATCATTCCCATTTCCACTACTGTGTTGGGATCGGTCATCTTCCCTCCTGTCACTGTCTGTGTCTGAATGCCGTTCTCCACCTGAGCCTTCTGTTCCATGATTTCCTGGTCCTACTTTCCCCTCCTCATCTTCCTTTTTCTCGCTGTCTGACTTTTCCTCACTGTCGGACTTCTGTTGCTTTTTGTTTTCAGATTTCTCATCTTTCTTTAAGTCTGCTTTTGGTCCTTTGTATTCATGCGTGTACAGAGGTCTGAAGGAGTCAATGAAGCCCACGTCAGCAGTCAGATTTGGCAAGAACCAAAAGTGGTGCCTTCCTCCAGTTATGAGCCAAATGATGAGAAACAGAATGCAACGAGCTGTGGGAGAAAAATTTCTCTAATTGAATAATTCAAGCATTGACTCAGACAGCAGGGAATATTTGTTAATGAAAAAGAGGGAAAACATTCAGTCTTCCTATTTGTATATTAAATGCACCTTAAATATAAACAGCTAAATCTTAGTTTAGCAGCTATCAAGAGTATTCTGGGCACACAGCATTCTGCTCTGAACTTGAGGGCACAATGCTACAATGCCATTCAAAAGTGTTTTTATGTTTTTTTAATCTGGGCACTGTTTCTTGGATATACTTATAATTTATGTACTTTGCTATGTTACAGTTCAATAAGCACAGCTGCCAGTTGGACCCTGAAGTATGCGTGAAATCATTGTAGAAGAAAAAAGGAAATAAACGCAAGTAAGAGATGAATGATATCTTAAGAAGCCTTAGAAAGGAGAAAGCAGGGCTGCACTATGACTTCCCTAGATACTTTTGCTTTTGTAAGGCAATTCCGCCATTAAAAAATATAAAAAATTATGCTTTTTACAGCCATTCTGGTATAAACATAAATATAACCCTGCACAGGTTCACTATTAACAGAAGTGTATATACTGTTACTTTTGATTTTAGAAGAAATGAAAATGAAATTATTTCCACGGGTCCCTAAATGTATCATGAGTTCAAGGCACGTGCTAACCCTACCTAAAGGATAAGTCTTCTAAGTAAAAATACTTTTGAACAGTAAAAGAACATTTTCCTAAGCACAATTTCTTTTTATTTAAGGACAACATTTTCCCAATATTAAGTAACATACAATGCAAATGAAATCCAGATTGGTTTAACAAATAGGTTTGAAGTTACTCTTTTAGAGCACTATGGTAACTATGGGCTTCCCTGGTGCCTCAAATGGTAAATAATCTGCTTGCAATGCAGGAGACATGGTTTGATCGCTGGGTCGGGAAGATTTCCTGGAGAAGGGAATTGCTACCCACTCCAGTATTCTTGCCTGGAGAATTCCATGGACAGAGGAGCCTGGAAGGCTATAGTCCATGGGATCAACAATGGTTAGATAATGGAAGAAACAGAGAATTTTAAAGTTTATAGTATTGAGCTATGATAAACCCCAGTATTTCATATAGCTTTCTTTTAATTTATCAAATATATAGAGCTGAGTGATTTGTCTGGATTTTACTTTTGTAAAGGTCATGATTATGTGAATGTTATGAGCTAATTAATTATGACAGGTTTCTTGGGTTTCATTTTAGTTTTTGTTTTCTTTACAGATAATCCTATCATTGTTTTCTAATAAGGTCTGAGAAAAGCTCATCTATGTTTCTTCCATTATTTAGCTTCAGACAGGTAAAACAGTTACAGCTGCCTTGACTTTTATGAAGCAGTAATTTCTGTTTTCACACAAGAACATAAATATTCTGAAAGACTGTATACACACCAGTTATCTTTTGTGCGTACAAACAGAAAAGGCAAATATGCTTGAAATTATGAAATAAATCAGTGAATAAACCCCACTGATAAAAAGAAATAATGAACATCTCTTAAGGAGGCTGCATATTTTTTTCTCCAAATAGAATTATGATGTTACAATAGGTTTTGAAGGGTTATAAAACAGTTCATAATATGAAATCTTGCCTGAAATCCAAGAAAAAGCAACATTAAAGTGGCAAATAAAATCGTATCCCTTTGGGTGTAGCAGAATTCTTTTTTTTTCAATAGTTTTTCTCTATATGGCAGTATATTATTAGGGGCAAAAAGAGAAGAATCATGAGGAAAAACTACTGATATATGTACTGTCATACCATTTCTATGGCCTGGTGTGCTGCAGTCCATGGGGTCGCAAAGATATTGGACACGACTGAGTGATTAAACTGACTGAACTGAATCACTTCTGTACTAAAAGTGACATATTCAGAAAATTGCCAAAGGCCTTATTTTAAACGGCAATACTAAATATACATGTTCAAAGCAACACCAAATTTAGTTTGACCAATAAATAATACTTCATGAGATAATATAATAAAATCTCCAATTTATAAGTAGGATACAGATCAAACCATTTAAAAGTATATTTGGAATTGTCTAAGAGAAACAACATTTTCTGAGAGAAGTAACAAAAATGTAGGATTTATTTTCTGATTTGATTGACAAGGCTGTTTAACATACATTGCTACTTAAACTCCCAGTATATTTAAAATGAAAAATTATAGAAAGAATTACTAAAGAAACAATACTTTAAAGAGCAAAACAAGATAATAACCATAAATTATTGTGATTATCAGTTTAAAGATAAGCAAGTGGGTTAACTCTATTCAGTGGAAATTAACCTTTGCTGAAAAATTTCAAAAAGCTTCTAAATTTTCAGGGATCTGGGAATCAGAAGACATCAACTTGACTAGTGTATCTAATGGCAGATAAAATTTTATTGCTTCTCATTCTTGGTGCAGGTAGTACATTACCACTAGTTACCTGCTTCATGCTCTTAGACATTTATTTTTTGGCCTTCAAATGTGCTGTTACATGCAGAAGCTTCAGGGGCTATATTTAAGGTGAATAGGCTAGAGGAAGGAAAAACTGAAAGGTGGATGTATTCATAAGGTTTCACACAGAGTCAGAAATTCCCCCCATAAATGGAGGCCAACAAACATGATGAATTGAATAAAAATACCTGATGAATCCCTGGGCCCATGGATGGTAGCGCCAAATCAGGAGCCCTCGATGTCCAGGGTGGAGGGAAATTGCTTAAGGCTATTGGTTATGGCTAGAGCAGTAATGCTTTATAAACATAATAATCTACTATATTACATATCATAGAATCTCAGAATAACACACATCTCATTCAGACAATCCTGGTCAAATTCTGTCCTCTAAAAACATATTAAATCAGTATTCCGGTTGTTTAAAAAATTTTTATAAAGAAGTACTCCTATATGTTCTGGTAGAAAAGCTGATTTATTATTTGAGGAAAATAATTGGAACTTAGTTACTATATAGCAACATAAGCTCTCAATGATTCAAAGAATTAAATATGATAGGAAAAAAAAATCAGTAAACAGCTTAAAAAAGCAGAAAAACATTGCTATTTCCCAAATGAAAAACTAAATTAGACCAGTTCACCCTATACAGGAAAAAATCTTCAAAGACTAGAATTTTAAGCAAAATAATACTTGTTTTTTCCTCATATTAAATAACATGGTCATTGTAAAAAATACAGACAAGTGTAAATAAGAATCCTAAAATCACTCATAACTACCACCACTATTTATTTATATTTAGGTATATATTTAGGTGTATTTCCTTTTAGTCAAATCCTTCTTGGCATTGAGTATTTCCATTTCAAAAAAAATCTTCCTAATTATATAAGCCAAAAAGACTTCATTATCTTAATTATTTGAAACCTAGTGATAAGCAATTTTCATATATTTATTAATCATTTGTTTTTAATTTCCTCTTTTGAATTTAATTGGATTATTTTTATAATGCTTTATTTTTAGCTATGAAAGCCCCTAATCATTCAGAAAAGTAAAATAACATTATTTGTATTTTCTTTTTTTTTTATTTGTATTTTCTTATTGATTTTCAAAAAGGATTTTAAAACTTGTTAATGCATCAAGAACTTATTTTGGTCCATGGTACAAACTGATTTTTCCTAAAAATGGCAAATCAATTGTTTATAATCATTTACTATATAAAATGTAAATGTTTAATATAAGTTTCATTTGTCTTAAGTAAAAAAAAGTTTACTGAAAGTATTATGTTTATTAAATGACAAATCACTGTAAAAATATTAAAGTCCTTATGGCAGCTAAATTTTAAGCATATCTATTTGCAGACTCTTGTTTAGTTGCTAAGTTGTGTCTGACTCTTTTTACAAGCCCAGGGACTATATAGCCTGCCAGGCTGTCCATGGGATTTTCCAGGCAGGGATTTCCTGGAGTGGGTTGCTGTTTTCTTCTCCTGGGGATCTTCCCGACCCAGGGATAGAACCTGCGTCTCTTGCATTGGCACCAGGGAAGCCCATTTGCAGATTAAGACATAGTAAAGCCTTTTGTCACAACAGAGTAAATCTAATTAAACACATATACTGCTTGAAGCCTGAGTCAATTTTAGGATATGACCAAAAATGTAGGCCCATATACTTCTTAATTCACCTATGTTAATTTTGCTATTTAGTTTTACTGAAGCTCCAGATTACAGTCCAAACTGCTCAACAGCTACCTCTTACTGAGGTCAGTCTTGCTAGTAACAATACTTACCAACAGCAAGGAGAAGAATGCTGGCTACAAAACAGCCTGCACCCACACTGAGGTAATAAACACCTACTCTCATTTCTGCTGGCCAAAGAGGGAAGAGGGTGGCTGCTATCACTGCAATCACTGGAACAAGAAACGAAAAGTTACACATAGAAACCTTAGATTAAAATTTTAAATGGCTCAGTTGCCAAGACAGTGAATATGCATACCCCTAGGGGAAGAATAAAACATAAACTTACTGAAACATATAAAATGCTCAGTTATCAATCACTGTATAGTTCAACCTACCATTTTAACTACTATTCTCATATTAGGTCAAGATTTCTCTAGTATAAATTATATATAATTAGAAAAGTGCTGTCTAAAAACGTGAAATTGTTAGCTCCTTAAATGATCAACTGCTGCTGTTTCAACTTCATTTTTAACTATAAGATATCCGTCTACCAAAAAGGGATGCTTAAAGAAACAACCAACCAACGAAACTAACCAAAAATGATTCCAAAGATCTTTCCCTGGAGATTGGTTCTGGGGTGAAACACTGACATCTACTGAATGAAAAGCTCACCAGATGATTCTGATACAGATAATGTTTGGTGATAGGGAAACCGTATACAACCATCTCCAGTTTTTTTCCCCTAAGTACAATAGGACCACATGGAATAACCAAAAGAATGACTGGTATTTAGGTGTTTAGAGCAAGAGAAACCAGGATTCAAATTCTAGCTATTTCATTTACAAGCTAAGGGTTGGATTTATTATTTTGAATGGGATCCTATGATAACATATTGATCACATTTGTTCAACTGCTATTTTTTTCTACTTGTTAAATCATTCTCTACCCCTACCCCCAACCAAATTCACAGGAATAACACACACCTATGGTAATAAATAAAACAATACAGTAAAAAACAATTAAAAATAAACCAAAAAGTATAATGTGAAGTCTTTACCCAATTCTTGGTCCACTCCCCAGAGGTTAACTACTATTGTTTCTTATTTGTATGCCCAGAAACTGCCTGTATACAATTAAAACTAGTCACATAGATTCCCCCCCCGCCCCCGCCAAAAATGAGTTTACAATAGTCTCTTTCAGAGTTTTCATTTAATATATTCTAGATATCTTTCTGCAAGTACACCCTATCTAATTTTTTCAAAGCTGCATGATACTCTGGCATGTATTTGTACTATAATTTATTCACCATCCTCCTATTGAGGGACTTGTTTCTAGCCTTATCCTATTATTGACAAGAGTGCAACAATTACCAATGCCCATGTGTGCAATTGATTAAGGTACAGGATAAATTCCTTGAAGTTTAACTATTAGGTCACAAAGTAAGGCATTTAAAACTTGAAAGATATTTGCTAATTATCCTTCTAACTACAGTCTGAAGGATTTGGATTAGAATTAAATTTCAATGCATATTTCTGAACAGACACTTTATGCAACTGTATTACTATGAACAGCCATGGGATAAATTCCTAGAAACAGAACACTTGGGTCAGTGTGTATACATTTAAAATTTGAAAGATATAATCAAACTTCCCTCCATAAAAAATAAAACAGTGAACATACCAACAGCTACTGGAGCATAGTAGTGGTTTTTCTTAAGTGTTGGACCTTCATTAATAATAGGTACTATTCCACTTTATAGTCCTCTTGATAACTGCTATTGTTTTCATTTGTATTTAACATGAGGGTGATAAAGTATTACTCACAATTATTGGTCACTGTATTTCTTTATCTGTGAGCTACCTTAACCATTTTTCTAGCAGGCTGTTAATTTCTTAAAGATCTTTGCTTTAAAGTAATGCAAATATTTTCCTCAGTTTATCATTTATATTCTGGCTTTATTTAAAATGTACTTTTAAAAAATAGCTATTTTATGTTAAACATTTTCTTTCTGACTTCTGTATTGTTTACTTTCCTTTCTAAATTTTAGAGAGTGTACTTACCAAGAATTAATCCCATGACAAATGTTTTAAAGTGAACTGGGTCATAGATCCACACAAATACCTAGAAGAATCAAGAAACTCCAGTGCTTAAAGTTCTAAGATCACATCAGATCAACAATTAGTTCCCACCTATTAACACATAAGAACTACTTAAAAATTAAACAAATTTCAAAGACTTTTTCTTTGGTAGCAGTGGTTTCTTGGGTATATATTGAGTTAGAAAATTATTTTTAAAACTATAAATTAGGTAATGCAGTTAAGTACACTTCCATGTACTTGCATGTTTTTAACAATTTACTCCTGGGTGCAGACCATTACTTAACCATTACTTATTCAACTTAAAGACAAGCAATTGTACAGCCTTCTGTCCCTATGGTAATGATGTATATAGGCATGAGCAGGGTAGACTCAATCAAAGAGCACAGTTAAGACAGATTGCAGTCAGGCCCTATGACAGATCCATCAGCTCTCAATCCCACCCTGTTCTCTCCAACTGATGAGACACAAAGGACCATTATTAAAGATTATGCTCAGTGAACATAAAAGATTCTATGACTCTCTGAAATATTATTGCCAGCTCCCCACAGAGGATCTGCAGCCCCAAAGCTGGGAACCACTGCTTTAAAGCTTACTTTATACAACAGAAATTTCATTTAGAATAGTTAAATTCTGTTCATCAACCATAAAACTCTTAGTTTTATTCTCTTGGTTTTTATAAATAACAGTACTCTTCCATTTCCTGGTTCTATTTTGACCAAAGCTCTTTGCTACTGTCTTTTTGATCTAGTTCCAACAATCCTCTTTTTTAACTCTGCATGTTTATCCCGGAAATCAGATCTACAGATATCACTTCTGCCACTTAGCACTCTAAAGAAACAAATTTTAAAAGACATTTCCCATCTTTAAAAGTGTGATTCCTCCAGCTCCATTCTTTCTCAAGACTGCTTTGGCTATTCAGGGTCTTTTGTGTTTCCATGTGAATTGTGAAATTTTTTCTTCTAGTTCTGTGAAAAATGCCATGTTAATTTGATAGGGATAGCATTGAATCTGTAGACTGCATCTGGTAGTAGAGTCACACAATATTGATTCTTCCTACCCAGGTACATGGAATCTCTCTTCATATATTTATGTCATCTTTGATTTCTTTCATCAGTGTCTTATAATTTTCTGTATATATTTCTTTTGTTTCCCTTAGGTAGGTTTATTCCTGGATATTTTATTCCTTTTGTTGCAATGGTGAATGGGATTGATTCCTTAATTTCTCTTTCTGATTTTTCATTGTTAGCATATAGGAATGCAAGTGATTTTTGTGTATTGTTTTTGTATCCTGCAACTTTGCTAAATTCACTGATTAGCTCTAGTAATTTTCGAATAACCAAAGCAGTCTTGAGAAAGAAGAATGGAGCTGGAAGAATCCACCTTCTTGACTTCAGACTATACTACAAAGCTATAGTCATCAAGACAGTATGGCACTGGCACAAAAACAGAAATATAGATGAATGGAACAAGACAGAAAGCCCAGAAATAAACCCATGCACCTGTGGGTACCTTATTTTTGACAAAGGAGGCAAGGATACACAATGGGGCAAAGACAGCCTCTTCAATAAGTGGTGCTGGGAAAACTGGACAGCTACATGTAAAAGAATGAAATTAGAACACTTCCTAACACCATACACAAAGATAAACTCAAAATGGATTAAAGACCTAAGTGTAAGACCAGAAACATAAAACTCTTAAGAGGAAAACACAGGCAGAACACTTGATGACACAAATCAAAGCAAGATCCTCTATGACCCACCTCCTAGAATAATGGAAATAAAAACAAAAGTAAACAAGTAGGACCTGATTAAACTTAAAAGCTTTCGCACAGCAAAGGAAAGTATAAGCAAGGTGAAAAGACAACCCTCAGAATGGGAGAAAATAATAGCAAATGAAACAACTGACAAAGGATTAATCTCCAAAACATACAAGCAGCTTATACAACTCAATATCAGAAAAACAAACACCCCAATCAAAAAGTGGGAAAAAGAGCTAAACAGACATTTCTCCAAAGAAGACAAACAGATGGCTAACACATGCTCAATCTTGCTCATTATTAGAGAAATGCAAATCAAAACTACAGTGAGGTATCACTTCACACCAGTCAGAATGGCCATAATCAAAAAGTCTACAAAAAACATGCTGGAGAGTGTATGATGAAAAGGGAACCCTTGTGCACTATTGGTGGGAATGTAAATTGGTACAGACACTATGGAAGACAGTATGGAGATTCCTTAAAAAACTAGGAATAAAACCACATGACCCAGCAATCCCATTCCTAGCCATATACCCTGAGGAAACCAAAACTGAGAAAGACATATGTACCCCTATATTTGTTGCCACACTATTTACAATAGCTACAACATGGAAGCAACCTAGATGTCCATCGACAGATGAGTGTATAAAGAAGTTGTGGTGCATACACACAATGGAGTATTACTCAGCCATAAAAAGGAATGCATTTGAGTCTATTCTAATAAAGTGGATGAACCTAGAGCCTATTATACAGAGTGAAGTCAGTCAGAAAGAGAAAGATAAATATTGTATACTAATGCATATATACGGAATCTAGAAAGATGGTACTGAAGAATTTATTTGCAGGGCAGCAATGGAGAAACAGAACTAGAGAACAGACTTACCGACATGAGGAGAGGGGAAAAGAGGGTGAGACGTATGGGGAGAGTAACATGGAAACTTACATCACCATATGTAAAATAGATAGCTAACGGGAATTTGCTGTTATGTTTCGGGAAGCTCAAACAGGGGCTCTGCATCAACCTAGAGGGGTGGGATGGGGAGGGAGATGGGAGGGAAGTTCAAAAGGGAGGGGATATATGTATACCTGTGGCTGATTCCTGTTGGTTTTGACAGAAAACAACAAAATTCTGTAAAGCAATTATCCTTCAACTAAAAAATAGATAAAATTTTTTAAAAAGTTTGAAAGCATACTTCTTTGTACAGAATAAAACCTTAGCCTTTTTGGGCATGCAAGCACCCAAGCTTTTGCTCAGGCTGCTTCCTTTGTTTAATAGGCTTCTAACTCCTTTGCAGTGTACCTGGCAATCTGCCAGTCATCCTTCACGGCTCAGCCCAAGTGGTGTCCAGGATCTCCAGACCATCCTTAAACCTCTTTTGATTAGATTAACCATCCCTGATTGGTATTCTCCCATCATAATACTATCCATGTCATAATACAGTACAGGCATACTTCAGATATTGCAAGATTAGCTCCAATAATACTGCAATAATACAATTTTTTATTTTTTGGTTTTCCCAGTGTATATGAAAGTTACATTTACATTATACTATAGTCAATATTAAGTGTACAATAGTATCATGTCTTAGAAAGCAATGTACATACCCTAAGTAAAAAATACTTTATTGCTAAAAAACGCTAACCTTCATCAGAGCCTTCAGTGAGTCATATTTTTTTTTTTTGCTGGAAGAGGATTTGAAATATTGTGAGAAACACCAAAATGTGACCCATACAAAGTGAGCAAATGTTACGAAGATGAGTCAATAGACTGCATCGATAAGACTGCAATGTAGGGCTGCTGTAAATCTTCAACTTGTGAAACAAACAAACAAACACCAAAACAAAACCCCCTCCCAAAACACTATCTCTGAAGCACAACAAAATGAAGTATGTCTGGTTTGTATGCTTGCTAGACTAAAAGAAAAGAGTTTTCAAGAAGAGAATTTTATTTTTATCATGCTATTCCCAGCACCTGTAAAAATGACTTGGCATAGAGTTAACCTGATGTTTAGCTGAAGGCATTTGAGCTTTCACATTAAGAAAGACCTGTGGTCTTCTATTACATTGGTTCTTAAACAGGGCTTCACATCAGAATCACCCAGGGGAATGTAATACAAAACACACACACATACACACTCTAGATTCCATCCTAGAGATCCTCATGCAACTATGTCTGGAATGAGCCTAGTGTACATGTTTTCTGAAAAGCCTTACCAGAATTTCAAGCTCACAGCTATAAGAACCACTACTTTTAAAATTTATACTACCTTTGTATTAATCATAGCAAGAAATTCACAACTCAGTGGCTAATATATAACTAAATGTTTTTGTAATGGTTAAATGACTAAATTAAGTAGTCTTCATGGAAGACTACCACCACACAAACATTCTATTAAATACATTAAAATGATTTTGAGTAAAGCATCAGGTAATGTTGAAAATTTTAGACACTTATAGTAATGTGTCTAATTGTGAGAGGTAGAAACCAGTATGTGTTCCTCATTAACCATTCTGCTTCTTTTCCTTTTGATTGTAATGGAAACCCTATATTTTAATGGGCAAAGGATCACCCAGTATAAAAATCATGTTTCTAAGGCTTTACTGCAGGAAGGTATGAGCATGAGTAGGTTCTGGCCAACGGAATCCATGCAGAAATGAAAGTGCCAGTTTTCTGGATAGTATCCTTAAAAAAAGAAGCATGTCTCTCACTTTCCTTCCCTCCTTTGGATGCATATATAAGGCTGGCAGTCATTTTGGACCATGAGATAATCTTTACTAATTGCCTCACACAGGCAGAAAACTTCAGATCCACCATGGAGCTGCTGTATCTGCTTACAATCAGGTTTCATTAATGAGAGAAAAGTAAGTATCCATCTTAAGTCACTGTTATTTCATGTTTTCTACCTATCATAGACAACTGAATATACTTCTGACTGATTTAATAATTTTTTTGTAAATTTAAATTCAGAGAAATTCATTTTTAAAAAGGATAGATTTTATATTTACATGGTTAAATTTATCTAAATTACTTCTTAGTGAAGGCATCAAAGATAATTCTAAAAACTCCTATGGAAAATTGGATTTCTACTTATAAAGTAGATACTCTCACCTCATTTCCATCCAGAAAAACTTGATCATCATGGGGCTCAAGCTTGAATTTTTTCTTGGTTTCCTTCTTTTTGGGAGTTCCAGGAGTTTCCTCCTATTAAAAAACAAGTTGAATAGAAGAAAAAGTGTTTACAAACAAGCAAAAAGGAATATGACATTCATATACTCAAAGTTTTACTATATGAGACACAGAAATAAAAATTCTCAATCACAGTATTTATAAAAACTCTAATATGGTTTAAGTGGCTGCTGCATGAGATTTTAAAGGTCTTGATATGCCAGTAGTGATAATGTGCATGTAATAACTTCTTTATTTTTACTTAATTCTAGGTGAAATCACCTTTTTGGAGTCTTCCTTTTCACCATCTTTTTTTTTTTCTTTTTCCTTTTTTGTCTTTTCATCCTTTAGATTTTCTTTCTTGCTCTTTTTATCTTCTTCTTTTCCACTTTCAGCTTTTCCTTTCTCTTTTTCTTTTTTTATGTCTTTCTCATACTTCATTTTCATTACTTTTAGTGCCCGATGAAAAAATTGCTTCTTTAAAAGCCTTTAAAAAAAAGGTATGGCATTATATTCCCTATTCATTATGTAGATGTAGACAGAAAAGCAAAAATATCAAAACCTGAATAAAGTGAACAAAGAAAGACATACATTGGCAATTCACAAGAAAAATTACAACTTGGAAATTACAACATGGAAAAACAGTCTATTCGAAAACTTATGCAGTCAACTTGATTATATGAAATCTAATTTTCAACTATATAATTTAATGAGATTCCTTAAGTTTTTCTTTAGGTTCATAAGGAGTAATCAAAATTCTGCTTTATTTAAAGTTAAGTCTCAAATTCAAGAGTGGACATAAGTGGAATATAAATATATGGGGAAAATAAATAAAACAGTTAAATGTTAACAGATTAAAGATGTGCCCATGATCTGTTGAGTCAAATTGTGTTTTCAGATGTCTTTCTTGATGTTATTTTCTTCTTTCCATGTACCTAACTATTCAGCCTACCACTATAATGAAATATCTTCAATTAAATAATGAATAATTAAATATGCTGAGATTTCTGAAAACAATTCTTCATAGTATCACGATAAAAACTGTACAAAATATTTGGTAAGACAGCACTGTGTGTTTCTCTCAACAAATTCTGTTATCCTATCCACAGCATTTTTTCTTCTAATACAATTCATGTTATATTTGTTATAAACTTAAGAGTGAGAGGCTTGCTTTGTTCTGTTTTGTTGTTGTTCTTTTGTTGTTGCTGTTGTTCATTTTCTTATCTGATGAGTTTAGAAGCTCAGCTGAGGCCAAATTAAGTCAACCTTGGTTGACTCAATCTTTTCTAATCCTACTCAAGCAACTGGTTACACTTATTTTTATCATCTAAAAGAAAACCTTTTCAAATCTTATGTTCCAGTTTCAGAGTTCCTCATTTGTTCCTTCATTACTGTCTTGATAAAGGATAACTATCAAAACACAACCTAGAAGCTAGGTCTCACTGCCATCAGCTGGGCCTGTTAATGGTAACTATCCACCTTTCTACCTCTATTGGTGCCCGCTCCAACACATCCTATCACTTGCTAACTAGACGCTTCCTTCCTGGCCAAATATCACTTATTTCTGATCCTTATGTTGTGCCTACCTGTGTTTTGACCTGCTTGGCTGGGCTTCTTTCTGCTGCCCAATTAGGACCATCCCATGAACACTGTCAAAAAGCTCATTTCTAGGTCTCCTCATTTGTACTTTTTCTTGTTAAGAGCTATATAGCATATAATTGTGCAACTGTCTGAAATGTCCCCAAAGAATCTAGCATTAATATCTACTACACATACATATATGAATATCTGTTTATATATACACATATATGTAAACAAGTAAAAATCTGAAATGAGACCCTTAATATTTAACTACTTATGAGTAGAAAGTGAGATTTAAGAGTAGTGGTGAGTATCTGAATGAGGGGGGGGAAACTTTAATTTTCATTCTACTTCAGACTTTCTTACAAAAATTTAAATGAAAATATTCTAATTTCTTTATTTTTCACTTATATAATTTCCAGATTTTCTATCAGCATCATTCATTACAATTTAGTATGAAATGAAAATATATCTTACTCACTGTATGTTAATTGAAGAGCAGCATTTCATACTACAGTTCATATTATAGCTCTCCATATATTAAGAGTACATGTGTATACATATAGATACTTGAATATATAGTCTCAAATGGTAATGTAATTATTCCTTAGGCAACATCATTAGTAATTTGGATTTTCTTCTGCATCATTTTCAGTTTTCTCAAATTTCTTTGCTTTCTCAAAGTTTTCTTTGCTTTAGTGAAAAGAATTTTCTTAATCAATAAATAAATAATTTTAAAAATAAACCACAGAACTTTAGCAGAAAAAACAGTTCTTCCCTCGACAAGCAGTTACAGAAGAGGACAGAATCAACAGGAGCATCTGCTTCTGTTACTGCTCCTGCACAGCTGCTCCGCCCCATGAAGAAAACCAAGATTATTAACCAATCAAATTGGTAATGAGAAATTCACATTCAGGTAGATGGGTTCAAATATCGCCTCTACCACTTAATCAGCTATGCAGTACTGGGTAAGTTACTTAATTTTAGTATATTTCTAAAATGGGGTATCTATTTCATAGGGGTTTCTAGAACTAAATGAGACGCATACAGATTTTTACCATGGTGCCTGGAATGCATGTTCTCAATGTTAGCCATCACTAGTGCTGTAGTGAAATCATTAATTTCATTTAATAGAGAAAACACATTTGGTTTATAAATCATTACATTATACCCTCATTCCATTCATTAATAAGTAGAATCATTGACTTAGTCCTTGATAGAGAATGTCTACTTCAAATCACCATATGCCTCAAAAAATGAGATGACACTTACCATTGTAATACAATCAGTGCCTCAATTTATTTAGCTTTAAACACACCGTACAGAACAAATCATGTACATAAACTGACATTTTTCACAGACTACTCATACTTTCCTAACTCAGGATGTTCTATGCCCTCTGCCAGGATCAAATGTCCACTACCCTATTGTTTGCTGGGTAATCACCTATTTTATGTTTCAAAATTTTATTAAAACATTTTCTCTGTAAGGCTATTAAAGTTTCCTCCTTTCTTTCTTACAGAACACACTGTATTGTAATTAGTCACAAATCTTCTCTAACAGACTACAATATGTGCTTTGGAGGCAAGAACCAAGTCACAGTTATCTTTGTATTCCTGAGGCCTGGCCTATAATAGATACCTGATAAGTATTTATAGAATAAATAAATGGATTAAAAGCAGCCTGCAAAATGTCACTAAATTGCTTATTACTTTTCTTCACCTCTTAATTTTTTCCCAGGTTTAATAAATGTTTACTAAATGCCAGACATGTGTTTAGGACTTTAACTTATCTAACAAGGGTGAGGTTTTATTAAATGCCCACATTGAGCTAACTGCTGTGGAGTTACAGTCAAGTATAAAACAGTCCTCCAACTGCCTTCAGATTTAGTAGGCAAGAAATAAAAAAAAAAACCCACACATGTAACAAATCTATTTAAACAGTTAAGGACCAAACCGCATGATACTACCTTTATAAATTCTGTAGAATATTAGATTAATGTAAGCTAGAGGACCTGGGGAATACTAAATGGTAGAGATGGAATGTGGGGGACTTATCGGCAGGCAGGATACAACCATGTGGGGAAAGTGGTAGTTATTACCAAAAAAAGACCAGAAAAGAGAATGAGCGTGGTAATGAATGAGAGTGAAAAGGACATTAGTGGACTGGGGGGTTGGAGATGCACGGTCACAGGAAGGTGAGGGTGGCACTAGATAAAAGATGTAAGAGTCTGTACTTGCAACTGGCCATGAAGAGGCACGGACCACACTAGAGAAGACCGTTCTGTGCACCACACTGCAGTCTCCTGTTCCCTTGTTTCCTCAGCCCCCTCAAGCACACCTCAGGATGAGGCGGGACCAGCGCCTCTCTGTGCTCTTGCCGGTAGTCCAGTCAGGAGCCCACGGGGGCTGGCCATCGAGAGGTCTCTATGGTTATTATTGGAAGCGGCTTCGAAAAATTTATGCTTCTCTTAGTGCGAAAAGGACACAGAAAGCTTGATACGAATGGGAATAACATATATGACAAAATGTGAGTGTACTGCTAGAACCATCTCCGTACTCAAGTTTTTTTTTGCTTTTCATGTAACAAAGTATCAAGTCTCCCAAAAGGCCAAGAGAAACGTATTAATACTGGCTGCTTATCTCAGAGAGTTGGGCTCAGATTTTATATTAAATTTTAGCGTTATGTGCTGCCAAAGCAAGCACTAATATTCAAATAATACTGACAGGTTAACCCTTCATCATAATTTTTGCTTCATTAAATGGATCATTATTTTGGAGGAGACAGTATAGTGCAGTGGTTAAGAACATGGACTATACTACAAAGCCAAATGGCTGGATTTAGACTTTTGGCTTGCCACTTACTAGCTTTGTGACTTTGGTAAGTGATTTAACTTCTCTGTTTGTGCATTTACAGCATCTTCTACTTTTTATACTATGTATAAAAAATAAGTCTGTTTTGAGGCAGGTGGGGAAATTTGCACTTTGGAGTTCTAATACACAGATGGCTACAAAGGAAAATAGTGACTGCATGCTGTTAGCTAATCCCTGTCCCAACAATGAAACTTTCTGTTTCTGAAAGGTCCATTAATGACTCCAGTTTTTGGGCAGCTAAGAATTTTTTTTTTTGGCTGTGCAGCACAGCTTGTGGGATCTCAGCTCCCCAATCAGGGATCGAACCCCAGGCCCATGGCATTGAAAGTAGGAGTCTTAACCACTGAACCACCAGGGAATTCCTGGCAGGTAAGAATTTTTTTTTTTGGCAGGTAAGAATTTTAAGAAACATTTAACAATTCTTCAACTTTACAGCTTTAGAAGACAGACTGAAATTTTTTTCTCAGTGTTTTTTAAGAGGGTTCTCATGTGGCTGCTGCTTCCCAGGTGGCTCAATGGTAAAGAACCTGCCTGCCAATGCAGGATACTCAAGTTTGATCCCTTGGTCAGGAAGATTCCCTGGAGAAGGAAATAGCAACTCACTTCACTATTCTTGCCTGGAAAATTCCACGAACAGAAGGAACCTGACAGGCTACAGTCCTTGGGGTCACAAAGACTAAGACACCACTCAGTGACTGAGGACTTAAAATGTGGCTGCCACTTTAAATGCCATTAATCAATATATTAGTAAATGCTATGTGTATCTCCCCACTAAATATATAAGATAATCTAAAATGTCAAATTCCCACCAATTATAAAATTCACTGTCACAGAAACAATCTGATTTACTAACATCTTAATAAATATGTTTAAGTAGTAAATAAACCAAGGGGAAAAAGTGGGGGGGGGGGGACAAAACCAGCATACTTCTTTCCAAGAGAAAAGTGATTTTTTTTGGGGGGGGGGGCCCACATCATGTGGCATGAGGGGTCTTAGATTCCTCACCAGGGACCGAACCTGTGGCTCCTGCAGTGGAAACACAGAGTCCTAACCACTGGACTCCCAGAAAACGGATTTTTTTTTACACCATTCACCATGAAAAGTTTTTCCCAAAGAAGAAGTACCTATAAAAAACATGGCATGTTACTAAATTGTCTATACTTCATCTCGGAATCAAGATAGATGTCACAGCTGCTTTGATTTCACTAGGAATACAATAGCAATCACAAACAAAATAGAAGAGTGTACCTAGCTAATGGCTCAGTGGGTAGACACACAAACAGCAGGGACAACAGGTCAATTAGGAATCCCTGACAAAGTTTCGGAAAAGACTCCCCACCTGTTTTCTCTAGAAAAGAAAGAACTTTTATGTTCCCGATAGGCACTGGTGTATGATTTGTGTATGATTTTTTTATTGCTGATCCCTCAGTTCAGTCAGCCTGCAAGTGTACAAATTTAACAGAACACAAATAAAAACTATAAAAATATAATGGTTTAATTCCAAATAAACACAGTTCCTGAAGTACTGAAGATATCCAAGTTACACTTAAAAGTCATGCTTGAGCTATGTTGTAACAGAACTAAATGATGAAAACAGGGAAGGAGCTTTAGGACCATGGAGACCATTTTTAAATTACTATTCACATTATCCTTCACTAAGAAAGAAACAGTACCTGTTGCAGTAGTCAACCACAGACTCCCTTGTTGTAAATAAAGCTTCCTCTCCTTTCTTGGCCTTTGCCCACTTTGAATCCAAGAGGCAATCCACTGCTTTTGAAGCTAAAGAAGAGATTAATTGTTTTAAATTTAGTATACAGCGGAACTTCAGTCTATCTAAATAATATTCTATAAGGCAAATTTCAACATTCTGGCATTCGAAAATAAAACCAAGTTCAACAGAAAATATAAGTCTGACACAATCATGACAAATAGCTCAATTTGTGAAACATACTGATAAGCAGCTTTTTAAAGTAATGCTGTGAAATAAATGATAAATCAAAAATATTAACTCAAGCAATAATAAATTAACGAGTAAATGTTCTTTAAAAAGTTCAAAATAAATGTAAATATCACTTTTATCAAACAATCAAAATATAGGACAAACCAAAAATCATCCTCTACCACAGTGAAAGAAATTCTGTCTCTAAGCTTTACCCACCAAGGAATAAGTTCTGTGAACAATCTACTGTCACTAGAAAAAGCTAAATAGATGAGATCTGAAAAGAATAGCATGTCTATTTTTCAAACCTTTAATGACTAGCAAAATCATTAATCATAGCACTAAAGAAAATATAGAGGAATCTCTTCTTGATAATGGCAATTCAATCTTAATTGATCAGACAGGCAAACTCAACAACTATTGACTTATAAGTTATGGGGCAATATTACAGATGATATTAACTTATAATGAAGTTGTTCAGATTATATGAAGAACAAAAGCAGCTCCCAACTTGGTTCCAACAGACTGGTTTCACACTGAATTCTATGCTGGAGTTTTTTTAAAAAGTTATCATTAAGTACATGTACTATCTGATTAAAAATTAATACTGAAAATAAAACTTCTTCTATTTAAAAATATCTCAAATGTCATTAAAAAGTACTTTTACTATTGACATTTTTAATCATGAAAGGAAAGAATAGGATAAGCACGTGCCATATGCCCCTCACCTAGCTTCACCAATCATTCTTGCAAAGCACTGAACATCTGCCTATTCCCAAATTCGATATCTTTATAAAATATGTACACTAACATAATTTAAAATATGAAATCCTACCAATAAAATAATCAACCCGGTGACCCATCATATTGGTGGACTTTGTTGGACAGTTGAATCGAAGAAACTTGGCTACAGCCTTCTCTTCTTTAGATGGTTCACCAACTTCCTGCAAAGTAACAATATTAAATTTAATGTAACCATTTACTTGAGACATTCATACACTGAAGAATAACTTAAAGATCTTTTCTGAAAATCTTTTAAAGTGTACTACAGGCCTTTCTTTCAAGCTTTTTCTAGATCAGACCTGGTAATCTATACAAAAGACAGAATGGAGATTTTAAAAATTACACATCTTTCAAATACAAGTTGACAAGGCCCAAAGTTGCCTGTCTCTTGGCCTCAGCTACAAGGCATTTATTTTGAGTTGTTTTTCCAGCATGGTAACCACTTTGTACCAGTTCATCTTTACCCTTGCCTGGTCTCTTTTTACAAGCTACAAGACAATAATTCAAAACATTAAGAGGTTGTCAATAGTGAGTGCCCAAATGTCAAAGTAAGTAGAAACAGGTTCCATAAATAAATGTTAAATAACAGCCAAAGTTACGTACCCTAAACAAAAGACTAGAGATTCCAGGAGGAGTTCTCAAATTAACCAAAGATGGCTGTCCCACTGTGGTCCCAGATACAAGATACTACTTGAGATGCTGAAGATTTGTATTCCCTTTCCCTTTAGGGTTACAAATTCTAGATATTGTCAGGGAATCCTTTCTCACCTTGCCTTTCTTCTTTCTTTCTGAACAGAGGTAAAGCAAAAATAAAAATGCAATAGACAAGTAAATTATAATCTCATTTAAAACTAACTGGGCTTCCCTGGTGGCTCAGCTGGTAAAGAATCCACCTGCAATGTAAAAGACCTAGGTTAGATCCCTGGGTTGGGAAGATCCCCTGGAGAAGACGATGGCTAGCCACGTCAGTATTCTGGCCTGGAGAATTCCACGGACTGTATAGTCCAGGGGGTCGCAAAGAGTCGGACATGGCTGAGTGACTTTCACTTTAAGAACTAATTAATAGAAGTGAACAAAGAGTTTTGAAAGGGCTGCTTTAATCCTTCCTTGTTTTCTAAAATTTTCCCATTCCTTTTTCCGAATTTTCTACCACTTCATTGTTTATCATTTCCCATCTTGTTTTTATTTCCTTACCTCCTGAACTACTTTTGAGTAGTTAAAAGCAGTGTACTTATTCTCCCCACTCATATACTGAAGAAAATGAGAACTTACATTTGTATATGTATCTCATTTTTTTTTACCTTTAGAAGTTGTCTTACTGCTGTAAGTTACTAATATCAAAATAAAAGCATTGTCTTCACATTTTTAAGCACAATACATACAGAACTCAAGCAATATTTCTAGCAGTGTATAATTTAAATGTGAATGATTTCATGAAGGTCTATTTCTTGAAATGAATAAACTGCCAAATAATAGTGAAGAATGAACTGCCAAGAATCTAGACTGCTGAGAACAAATAATGCTGAAGACATTTATCTTTTAGGCAAGACATTCTAATAATACAAAACAGGAAAAATAAACTAGGTAAATCATCTGTATTTACATCAGTTTTTCCACAAATTTCAAATAAGTCTGAATTCAGTTATGTTTGTGGAAAATAAGGGACAACTAACAAAGTCTCAGCTTTAACTTTACCCTGAAGAAGAGTAATTTGTGAGATGAAGTGAAAATCTGTACCCTGTTGTTGGGTCACCAGGCAGCTACTTCTCGGATTTCTTCCTTTGCATTTCCCAACTTCTCTGCTTCAAACAGTGCATGATTTTTATACTCTCATACTACCTCATTTGTGGGTTACTATCTGTGACAATAATAATTAAAAGCCCACACACTGTAAATCAACTATACT